CTCCCTCCCCCATCCACCACCCCCTTCTCCATTTTTTTTTTTATTCTCCCCTTTTCTCCCATCATTTCCTTAGGACCAATTTCAGGTACATGTCTTGGGTTTCACACAGAGAAATAGGTAGCTAGATGTCTGATTAGGGACTTCATATGTGTGGAAGTCCCCTTCATTCTGCCTTAACATGAATTAAGCTTTTAATGCATTATAAAGCACCATATCCAAAGCAAGATTAAGTCTAGACTGTATTAAAAGAGGCATATTTAGAAAATTAAAACATCAAATGCCATGTTTGGGTACCTTAGTGATGCATCTTTTAGAAGAGGAATCGAATACTATGGGCCACCTTAAATGTTACAGTCTGTGTTTCTCTGCTAGAATAGAATTAAACCAGTGCATATCAGCGGGCATAAATTGGTGTAAAAAAGAGGAGAATCTGAAGTTCATTGTTTCACTTCTGCCTGGTTCCAGAATGGCATGAACTCAAAGGGGGAGCATTACCTAAGCCTCTGTTTTACGGAACATGTTTCTGTCACAGAAAATAGTTTAGGGTTGCTAATTACCGCTGCAGTTAATAAGCCATGAACTTCACTTGAAGCTCATTGACTGAAGTGGAGATTACAGGGATTTTGTTGTTTCAGTTAACGATCAGTTCTTCAAAGTAGCATTTCTTGTGAGATGCTGGATTCTTACTGATCATGGAAGTTCTTGAATTACACTGCATTTATGACTTTTTTTGTTATTAACTAATGTTGCAATTGAGTTTTTCTGTTTTGTTTTGTATTTCGGATCTGTTTAGCTGAGCTTGGGGATTATGATCCTGATGAACACCCAGAGAATTACATCAGTGACTTCAAGATTTTTCCCAAGCAGTCACAGAAGCTTGAGAAGAAAATAGCTGAAATGCATAGAAATGATTTCAGGTAATTTAGGATGCTGTTTGGTAAAGAGGGAGCTAAGAAATACTTTTATCTGTCTCTAAATAATGTATGTTAACTTATGAGGGTTTGTTCCTTGAATTTAAAATAGATGCTTTACCAATATACTAATATGCTGTATTTGAAAATGCAGTTTCAGCGTAGTGGGTTTTCTTTTCCTGTTAACCTTCATTAATGTTAGCTGATTCCTGCGTGATGCTCGTAATTTAGACTGCATTTGCTTGAAATGTAGGTCTGGTTAGTGGGAGTGGCTCACATCATGAATGCTGCTCTGATTGATTAGTGGAATAACATCTTTCATTTAGGGATCATGCTTATGTCTTTTGCTGTGAAGTTTCTGTATGTAGTGTAATTATAAAATTCTTGATAGATACTGGCCTGTCTGAAACTGTAATTAAGTTTGTTAACATAGCGGTGAATTACACAGAAATGTATTGAAATAACTTCTTTGGAAGCCCAAGGAGGTGAGATTCAGAACTTCACACGCTCTTTTTCTGTCCTAAACTTTTAATAGTGCGACAAAGGGGAATGAAGAAAGATAGATTAATCAGTCTTCTGCTTTCAAAGTTGAATGTGTCCCTGAAGTATGGTGTTTCAGGAGAGAAGTAGCAGTGTGTTGTGCACCTATACCCTCTGCAGGATCATCAGCGAATGACATGCACAGTAGTCGTGACAGTAGCTTGCATGATGCCCTCAGTCATTTCACTCAGTTAAGGGTAGTTCTCAACTAAGGAGAGGACTTGGATGTGAAGAAAATCAAATGAAAGCAAAAGATTAATTACATGAAGTAGAAGAACAGTTTTTGTTCAAAGGTTATGAGGTTCTTTGCACTTGCTTACAACCCCTGTGTTTTGTTTTCATATTGCAATTTGTGGAGACGCTTTGCTTAAGTATATGAATACAATTTATGCAAAAATTGGATTGTGGGACATAAAATTCCTGGGGGAAAAAAAAATAAAAGAAAACGAGACATTTATTTTCACAGGAGTTAAATCTTATAGCACTTTTTTTCAGAAGCCTATCAAATGTTCTTCAACCGAAGCACAACATTTGTGACAGTAAGCTTGCCAGTATTAATATGTCTTCTATTTTTTCCTTCCTGAAACCAATATATTTTGTTTATATTTCTTTCTGTGAAAAAATGTTTTAAATGGCATATCTACATCTAAAATTTTTAGACCTGTCCAGGCTGCACTTTACACAGACCCACAGAAGCAGCCTTTTAGAAAAGAAAACATAATTTCTCTTACTTTCAGCTTTGCTCCATACATTGGCTGCAGATTTCCAAAGGATAAATTCAGCCTTTGAAAACCAAGTTCTTTCATCAAGTAACCAAGGTGCAATTGGAAAAATTTTGATCAATTCAGTCTTTCAAGAACAGACTAGTTCTTTTTTTAAGTTAGGAGAAGGAAAAGAAGGGTGGTTGGCCAAAGCTGGTGTTTTTTGTGTTTCATAACCCTGGGAGAGATGTGTTTTTCTGTGGTGGTGGTGTTTTCCCTTCTGCATAATTCTGCCCATCTATTTTGAATTTGATCAGCTAGTTCCTCCATTATGAATAACCAGACACATTTTTAAGCTCATTTTTTAAACCCCCTTTCCTTCTAGTGTAATGTTCCTGACCGTGCGACAGTAAATGCTACAAGCCTTCACACAGGTCCCCTCTGGGATTCTCTTAGTCCTGGATTCCTCCCATCAATGGCTGCTCAGCGTGTGAGGATGTCCCCTGAATTTCTTCAGTAGTCTTGGAGAGGGACACTATTCATTATTGCCTTTTGGAAATCAGATGCTACCAACCCAGCTTCTTTTGCCTGTGGATCTGCTAATTTCTGCAAAGAATTCCAGGATGTGATTGAGGCATAGCTATAATTTACAGCAGAACTCTCCTCATATATCCCACTTAGATGTATATGTTTCTTCATTCTCTTTCTATTCTAGATTTTACCAGTTCATATGTTATGAATGTTAAGTTCAGTGGCTTACAGCTCTTTGCAGCACTCTTGGAACTGTTTTCTTTCTTTTCTGTTTTCTTCTGCTTCTGTCAGCATCTGGTTACAAAGACTGTTTCAGACCTGTCTGGATAGCTGCTGTCTGGCAATTTTCCACTGTAGCTCTGTCTTCCCAAAATAGATTATCCTATTACATTTTTAACATCAGACATTCACTAGTCACATAGAAGTTTTACCTTTTTCCAGATATTTAATTCCATGGATCTCTATTCTATGAGTACAAATTAATAAAACATATCTGTCATATAATGAACTATATATATAGTGCTAGATGATCAGATTTCCGTATCTAGCTGGAAAAAGATGATTAGAGAAAGCACTGAGCTTGCAGGCTTCTCTCTAGTATTGATCAGCACATCTGTTTCACTGCAGTCAGCAAGTTCAGTTTTCTGATAAGAATTAACAAGATACTTGAGCAACGTGTTAGCTGAGAGCTAACACGTGAGGGCAACAGCAGAGACTAAGAGCCATTTTAATCCAGCTGCCATTCTGCTACCTTCAGAAGAGTTACCTCAGAGTTTCAGCACTGCACATGAGTCTGGTTCTTTGTTTTCTTCACATGTTTAAATAAACGAAAGTCATGGCATCTTTCTCCTGCAGCAGGCTCCCATGTGACCAACCAAAGCCCTGTGACTTGGAAGGGGCCAGTTCTTCACTGAATCCTGTCTCAGCATCCTTAAGGCCTGTTCACTAGGCACATCTTTTCTTCTGTCCTACAGCATGATGGAGAATGTGCCTTTTGAAAGGTGCATGAAGACAGTGAAAGGAATGCTTGGGAAGCAGAGACGGTGCTGTGACAGCTGCTAGTGACTTAGTGTCTTATCTTCTGTCATTTAAAAGTCTTGTTCTTATTAATTAGAACAGATGTATGACATGGTGCCCCTATTTCTTATCCTTTGTGGCTGTGAGAACATCACTGGATTTTAGCAAAATGTGACCTTTTATGTAACTTTCCACTGCATCTAATTGCAAAGATGTTAATGTGACACACAGAAGGGTATGTCAGCATTATTGAGCTGTGATTAATCATCTCGTGCATTTTAATTAATTATTCTTCCCTCATTGAGAAAGGGAGAGGTACAGGAGTAATTTCACTGAACCTTACCACTGGTGGGGCAAACACCTGCCTTGATTTCATCACAATGCATATTCTGATTTTCCTGTTATTTCAAGTAAGTCCTCTTTTGAAACATGGTATACCGCTGGGAGGTGAAGAGATAATGCTTTATCAATAATTTTATGATGTAATATATGAGGATGCACTAGGAACTGATGAGACTTGGAGGCTTGTTCTTAAAAGAATTCAAAATTGATTTTAATGTCATGGTTTTGGGTATGGTTACAACAGAGCATAGCGACTGAAGTAACAGCTACATTCATTTCTGTTTCCCTGCCACTCTTATCATAGAATCATAGAATGGTTTGGGTTGGAAGGGACCTCAAAGATCATCTATTTCCAACCCCCCTGCCATGGGCAGGGACACCTCCCACTAGAGCAGGTTGCTCAAGGCCACTCTTAACAGGTTGGAAAAGAACTGGGCCATAAACATCCAGATATTCTATGAATGTATTTTGGTATACCTTCTTCTTCTAGTGAAGTGAATGTTAAGGTCTCTCCCCACGTTGTTCATTTGCATGTCCCTTATCCCTTGTAGTTAGATGTGTGCAAGTGTTCATAAGGTTGCATTGTAAATCACATCAGTGAAATGATCCAGGTTAAAAAATGACTTACTTCCTTTTGACTTGACTTCTATGCAAAAGCACATGGAACCACACATTCAGTTCTCGCCTATTTTGGCAGTACTAAAGAAATTTAATACACTGCACTGTGCTCAGTGTATAAAGCCATAGGTTGTTTTTTTATTATTTCTGGTTACCAAAAGCCCCCAGCTTAACAAAAATATAGTGAAGAATTCTGTGTAAATTTGGGGAAAAGCAAAATAAAACTAACCCATCAAATGAGGTTAAGCAGTCATGAAATCATCTAGGTACAGGAGAGGAAAAGCTGAGTGAAAGGTTAATTCTTCAAGCATAACAGCAGGGATTACTAGGATTACTAGGTTTTTATGTGAAAGATCACTCAGGTGAGTTTAATAATCTCTTTGGGATTTCAGGTTTTGTTTTGTTATAGTTTTTTTTAAACACATCAGGAGTTTGCTCCCTTCAGGTGTTCCCCAAGGAGCTTTTCCATGGCAGATTAGCACTGTTTGTTTGGGCAACCTGCATTAGAAGCTGGCCCAGTTTTGCTTCTAGCTATTGCTATTGGATTTTGTGGGCTCCTCTTACAAAAGGATGGACTTTGTACTTACTTATGCACCTTTGTCAGTATTAGTTCCGAATCGACTTCTGTGGTATTGCAACTGGATTTGCTTCAGACAACCAAATTAAACATTAAATGTTTTCAGTGCAGTCACATTCCTTTCTCTCTTTTCCAAGACAAAAATTCCTTCCTATGAATTTATATTGAATCTTATGTCCTTTAGCAGAACATTATTACTCTGAAAAAATTCCCAGGCTTTTTAAAGGTACCTTTTAAAGGTACCTCTCAGCTAGAGCTCCCTAAGGCCTGGCACCTGGAAATAGACTACCAAAGAGAAGATTCACATATATCCCTGCCAAGGTGATTTATATTTGTAGGAATCATGGGGTTTTCCCCTTTTTTTCTTTTTTGAAAGGACTCAGTGGTTGAAAATACAGATTTTTTTTTTTGTGTCCTACCCAAAAACTAATGATATGGTTTTACTTCTTTCTGATATGAAATATTGTGCCCTGCAATTTATATTAAAGTGTTACATAAACAGAAATTGATTTATCTGAAAGCCCTATGCAGATGTTAACTTTGCCCAGTAAATTACAGAGTTACATGCCTTGTTCAAGTGTTTTCTAGGCTGACCTGATGTAGGTAAATGCAAGGTATTAATTATTGCTTGGCATAGCCAGTCTGAATACAGGTTCAAGGAGGTTGAGTGCTACTGAATT